TGCTACTACTGCTACTGCTATTGCTGCTGCTGCTGCTGCTACTGCCACTGCTGTTACCACTGCTGCAGCAGCCACTGCTGCGACTGCTTCTGGCCACGGCGGCTCAGCGGCCTGCACTGCCGCTGCGGGGAAGCCGCCGGTATGGGCTAACAGTACGGCCCGCGACGGCCGCGGTGACGGCGGCGGCGGCGGCGGCGGCAGTGCCGTCCGCTGTGTCGAGTGCGGGTCGGCCTCCACCAGTCACGGCTGGCGAGTCCATAAGTTGGACCCCACACTGCGGACGTGCCGGAGGTGAGGGACACCACCATTGGGTCCCGTCAAAAGCGCAGTACAGTTCATCAGTTGTTCGTTGTTCGTCATCTTAAAAGTCGTTATGAGCGGCCCGGCAGCAATCAGGCCCTGTATGCGTGTCAGGTGGATTTTGAGAAAGCCTTTGATAGAGTGCCCCGGGCGAGCCTGTGGCAGCGTCTTGAGGAGAGGGGTGTGCATGGACCCATGTTGGCGGCCCTTAAAGCCAGCTACGAACGTGTTCTCCAGCGGGTCAAGGTTAACGGTCGCCTAGGGTCCATCTTTGCCTCTCTGCAGGGCGTGAAGCAGGGGTGTCCCATGAGTCCCAATTTGTTCGGGTTCTTCATTGAGGTTATTGCCGACTACCTTGAAGCGAGGGATGGTATGGACGAATGGTCCTGTCATTAACGATCGTCGGTTGCCTCTGTTGTTCTATGCAGACGACCTTACTCTGTTCGCGACCTCGTTGGCACGCCTCCAGTTCTCGCTTAAGCTGCTTATTGAGTTCTGTGCTGCTTTTGGTATGCGCTGCAACGTTCGGAAATGTGAGGCCCTTGTTGTGGCTGCTTCCGTTGATGTCGTTAAGAGGGCGTTTGAGGGGGTGAGGCTCATGCTTCCTCTCCGTACTGATGGGTCGCTTTGGCACCCACCCATGGTTGGTAGTTTACTTGTTCCTAGTCCTATTAACTGGTGTGGTCGCGTTAGGTACTTGGGTCTCTATTGGGGCCCTGCGTCCCCGTTTGCGAGTTGTGTCAACGAACTTTTGGAAGCAGGGCGACGGGCTATGTTCGGTCTGAGTAATCGGTTGGATGAGAACAGGGTGTGGGCTCCTGCCGTTCGGCTTCAAGCGTTCGACACCCAGGTCCGTTCGGTTCTCTGTTATGGTGCTGAGGTCTGGGGTCCTGATAGGATTGTCTCCGTCCTGCGGTTAGGTAAAGGTGTTTTACCCGCTGGTAAGTCATATTTTGATTTGGCTTTGGAAGATGGTATGGTCCAGGTCCAGCGTGACTTCTGTTTACGTTGTGCTGGGCTCAAGCAGGTACCTTACAAGCTGTTGTACAGGGAGCTGTCTCAGTTGCCTTTGCAGTACTTTTGGTTACGCCTTGCGTTGTGTTTCTGGAATAAGATAGTCAAGTCCCGTGGGTCGGTCTATCATGACGTGTTAGTAGATGATCTCCGTCTGGCTCTTCTGTCTGATCTCAAAGTGGATTGCTGGTCGTCTAAAGTGCTCATCATTTTGCGTTGGTTGGGCCATGAGTGGCCGGCGTGTGACTCCGTTCTCAGAAGGTAG